CATTACAGATGGTTGTGAGCCACCATGTGGTTGCTGGGAATTGAACTCAGAACCTTTGGAAGAGCAGGCAATGCTCTTAACCACTGAGCCATCTCGCTAGACCCCTTCTCTGAGAGACTTTAAAGAAAGAGGTTACCCCCACGATGCATGAAAGTCTTACAAATAAACCAGGATTCCCAGGAGAGAAAGAATTCTGTCTCAATACTGCAACACAAAAATCCTGACTAAAGTTACAGCCTGCCACAGAAATTCCCCTACAGGCACAATTTGAGTCAATTCCTTAAAACAGAGCCAGTCTGACCTCTCCTCTCCCCGCCCTCCTCTATCTATATCCCAATGGTTCTGCTTCTCTAGAGAGCTCTGAATAATTCATGACGGAAATCCTCGAGATCCAAACCTAACCCCTCCCCATCAGCATCTACCTACTTCAGGCTACACTGAGTTCACCAAAGGCCTAAGGAGGAAAGAGGAAGGAAACCCCACAATCTTCTACTTTGATATAATACATGAAGCATGAATCAAAGTTCAAGGGCTATCATACCATAACTTTTCAGAATAGGATGGTTTTCCCTTGGAAGGTCTTCTAGCCACACAGCAAGCACAGTAGAATCTGCGTTCCACAGCAAGTCATTTACCTGGTAAGGACAAAAGACACCCCTGACCTTCAGCCTCTGTCTACTTCAAACTCTTTATAATAGCTGAATCCCCTGCACGCATAAACCAAATAACTCCGCAAAACTGGAGCTGACCTCCAGCTCTAAGTTAGTAACCTACAGTTGTTAAACCAATTTGTGAAACTGGTATTATAAAAAGGACTTAAAATATGCATTATGCTTAAAGATTTAAACACAAATTTAACAAAAAGCAATGTAACATTTTTAGAAAAACCAAGAAATTTGACTATTAAACACAGTAATATCTCATACTACATTAAATATAGTAATTATATTAGTCATACATACTTAATACTAATGAACTGTTATTTCATTAAAAAACTCTAAAAAATTTACACAAGATTATCCTACATAATTTTTAAAAAATTTTACATAATTAAAGGTTTCATGTGTCCCCACCCACGTTTTTAAGTACATAAGCTATCTGCTTAATGTTTAAATATTTATCGCTGGGAAAGTTAGTCATCAAAATAAACAGCAAGAACTAGTACTTCTCTTTCCTTTCTGTGATTTTTCTTAGCAGAGAAGAAATGCCGCTTCTGTTCTAAGAGTCAAGAGCCATCTTTTCTACACAGCAGCCTCCATTCCTAACCTCTGGCAACCCCAAACCTCTGCAGCCAAGAATGCTCTAACTGGACGACAAAGACTTCAGACACTTACTTTAACTTCATCTTTGAAGAAAGGAAGTGTAAACTGGCCATGAAGAAGTCCGTTTTTCTCAAGAAACACAACATCTTGCTGGTTGGGTTTATCTTGAGTAGATGCAATCAAACTGCCTGAAGGTCTTAAAGAAAAGCCAGAGTTAGAGCAGTCAAAAGCTCGTCCCGCTGGCTGAGCGCAGAGAAGACTGACAAAAAAAAGAGTCATTTTTTTGTCAGAAGAAAAAAAAAATTAAAAGTCCCCTTTTCTAGTCAGGAAGAGGGGTGTGTGTGTGGGGGGGGTGATGATTCCGAGAAAGTTTGAAGCCCACCATTTGTGTTCTGACAAGCAGATCACCCCAACACGGAAGAGGAAAAAATAGCAAGGCACCATTTGCACATAGTCTTTTTTATTTAAATTGCAAGTGAATGGTTAAAAAAAAAAAAAGAAGTCTATTTTCTCCACCATTTTAAGCATGACATCCTAAGTAATCTTCTTTTTCAGTAGCATGGATCATGAACCTTCCACGCTTAGGCAGGGACTGCACCATTTCTCTTCTGAAATAGTCTTAGTCCATGTGCCTCATTAGCATTTTTCTCCAATGTCTTAATTCAAACACTTAAGTAACACCCAGTCCCACCAGTATTAACTGGTAGGAAACAACCTAAAGGCCTACTGGATTTGCATGTGACAGACGCTGCAGCAGTAGGTGCATTTATTCTATCTATAGCTATATGCACCTAAAACAGGCAAGCTGTAATCCGCACAAAGCCCTGCACCGAGGAAGCCAGGGAAGGCAGGCAATCGAGTCTAGCCTTCAGATTTCTCAGCCAGCGGAAGGCCTGCTGTGGGATCTCTCTCCAGAGGAAAGCGGCTTTTCACCCAGGTCTCAGAAAAGCCCCCCTAGTCACACAGAGCCTCCCACACGAGGACTAGATGCACTGCTTGCTATTTCCCACAATGGTCCCATCAACAGTGATAACCTTTGCAGAGATGCAACCAGTGTGGGGCCTGGGATGAGGGACCCTGTGAAGAACCCAGGATCCAGCTGAGTTCAGGAGGAAGGGATGGAAGGGAAAGCAGGAAGAACCCTAAGCTCATTCTCATACTCACTTCCAAGCCAGGTGGGGCCCCAGTCCTGGCACAGGCTCGCTAGTTGAGTGCAAAGTAAACTCTCGGTTCCATACTCTGATCTTCCGAGCCCCTGCAAGGGAGTGGAGTAAACAAACACACACACTTAGAGCATAACTCTCACGTGCACCTACCCTACATGCTCAAGTTTGCACTGGGTAGGTGACGCCAGACCAGCCGGCCTCAAAGTACTCTTCTAATCCTAAGCCACTGCCATCCAGGACAGCACCTCTTCCCCACTCTGTGTAATCAATACTCTGTTCAAAGCAAAAGGAAAAAAAAAAACTTTTCTAAAGCTTAATTAAATAAAATTTTAAGTGTAATTTATTTCCATACCTGTTTGTGGGCAAACAACACTCACAGCAAAAAACTGCCCATCCCCACGCCAGGTAATATGTGGTCTGTGGTCATCCCAGGGCAGGGCAGACTCATGCTAAAGAGAGAAACACCAGTATTACTGGGGAACCGTGATCCCAAGTCAAACAACCCTTGGCCACCAAATATTCATCTTTTATATGACATTGACACTAGAAAATGGCTTCAGAGACTCTCTTGGAACCTTTCTAGAAGGGCTCTTAATCCTAGAAATCAAGACTAATTTAAAAACAAAATAAACATAGCCTTCTTTCTTTGGGCATTAGAGGTACAGCAAATACAGGTATTAAATGCAATCAGCGAGGGAAGCAGTTAGGAAACTATGGCAAGGGAAGAAGTCTACCCATGAACTAGAGCTATGAGTACATTTTGACAGAAGACTTCTTCACTGCAGCATACACAGGACACAGCAATCCTGCTCTTGGCAGTATGGGCTGAAGAAGGGTCTCCTGTCCTGTGCCACTTGTGTCTCTAGCCGTGAAGTAGCCAAGCTTATGAGTGGGAGAAAGGTGAGCACCAGACACATCTCCCATCCCAGTGGTTGCTCCACTTCAAAATACTACTAGCTCTGCTTGGCCACAGATTAGATCTGGCTAGACTACACTGTGTATTACTAAGTTGCTGTCCTTTGGCATAAAACACAGACTTCCTCTAATGTAAGGTTGTTGTAAAGCAGTTTTCTCTAAGATGACGCATTCCTTCTTGCAAGGAAGCTCCTTAAGCAGGAAGGTTAAAAACTCAAAATAGCTTCAAGAAGTCCCTGAAAGGGCTGGAGAGATGGCTCAGAGGTTAGGAGCATTGCCTGCTCTTCCAAAGGTCCTGAGTTCAATTCCCAGCAACCACATGGTGGCTCACAGCCATCTGTAAT